CTGGTGTATTTTGTCACAGGGAGTCATGAAACTGGATAAACATGTTAAAATTTATAAAGACTGAAATGATCAAGATCTAATGTGTCTGAGATTATGCGATTCACGTTAGATGGCATGTTTTTGTATAGATGACAAGCAAACAGAAATTTCTTGGTAATTTATAAACGAAACGAGTTGAAATCCAAGATTTACATTGTCAGAAGTTGTATTAATTACCTGATGCAATTTGGCCGACATCAATATGGAAGTTGTTTGTGAAGTTTTATCATGAAGTATCCACTTCAATATAAATTTTTGGTTCTTTCAATTTTGAATAACACACCAGGACTTTTGTCGTAGGTCGTGCCCAGAACAAATAAACAACTGGACGAAGCCTTGTTTATAGAACTTTCAGATTTTATTTAAATCAAGTCAATGAAAATTGCGTGGCATACATTTCTAGCTCACTGTTTTAAGGGCGTGTGCAAAAATGTTGATGTTGACACCTCGCACGTTTTTGGTCATAATGTCGGAAATAAACATCTCCAAAAGCCAGAACTTTCAATGTATTTTCTCCATCTCTCGAGCAAATAAAAACAATTAGAAAGTGTAAGACTTTCGACCAAGAATTCGGAATAAGCTTCAATCGAAAGGTTTTTCTCTTTTTTCTAGAGTTCAATATGTCGGGCCCACTGGTTTAAAACTATTTTATGAAAAACCGGGGACGTGCCCAGAGCGGAAACCTACCTAAATTAAAATCTTATGTAATTCTAAAAAGAAYAGAATTGTAATTTCGCCTTTGAAAATTGCGTGGATATCTCAAATCAACGTGCAAAGACGTGCGAATTTTAGTAAAAATTTCCACCTTCGAGTAGAATAAATTAATCACTGCTCGTATTTATGCCGAAACAAGTTCTTAAACTTACCCTAAATTAGACTATTTTTGCACAGTTTCATCTACATACAAAACGTCTTCTTTCATTATTCATGGGAAGAGTAAAACACACGCAAATGAATACAAAAGAGAGGACACCAGCTCTTTCGCCATGTTTTCTTACATCTTCAAAGTTTCCCGCCAGGCACAGGTATACCGCGCGTTATGTATTCTATTTGTCTCACGCATGCGCAGACAAATGTCCCTGCTGTTGACCCAACCTCGTCCCCAGGGCCATCTCGGCCGACTCCGTTTCAAGATGGCGGTCGTCGGGGAGATGACCCTGGCGTTGGCTGAATTAAGCCGCTTTCTGATTGGCTATTTGAATATGATGTAATAGTTTTTCTTATAGGCTTCTCAATTGGCTAAAAATGATAAACATTAAATCTTGACACGGACTCGAGCAGAAAAGTGTTTTTCGGTATGTAAAAAAACATTGAATAGCTGACACGGACTCGAGTAGAAGTGTTTTTGGTATGTAAAAAAGCAATATTTAAGAAACGAATCAGAAATGTAATCCTAGAATTTTGAAATCTAACTATGTTTGTAGTACAGTTTATTAGCTTTACTGACGAAAGTACGGAATTATCAGTCTTCTATAATACAAATGACTGATATTCTTTGTAGCATTTACCTTTAATTTCGCGAAATTCTTCGCCTTCCACCGTACCTGGACCATTTATAACAAGCAATGGAAGTGAAATACGTATTGGCATAATTGTCAATGCAATTTGTCAATGATAAAATTATGTATTTAGAAGTTTTTAATTAAAATGGATATAATTTTTTTTCTGATATCTGAAATATCGAGTTATGAGTGTTTGTTTTGATCTCCATATATCTTGTACATCAGAAATGCACGGATTTCATGTCTAGAGTTAGAGTCATCACTGTTCAAATTATTATCAGTCTTACAAAATATAGAAAKACATGTTTCTATTTTACAAGAAAGACCAAGTCATTTATTGTTTTTTTTTACATTTGCATRAACTAATAATATGTTTTCCATACACAAAAAGAATAGAATATTGAGGTAGGATTGCAATACTGTATGTGCCAAATGCATTGGGACATTTTTAATAATAAAAATTAGTTGTGAAGTGTAAACTGAGTTGTAGTACTAATTGAGAAAGTCTCTTGATGCTGCAGTTCAAATGATATTTCAAGAAGTATATTCTGAGAGAACATCCATAACCACTTCAGCATAAGAACGATCCCATATTGGAAATTCCTGACATAATTGCTCAACAGATGATATGTATTCGCAATTGTTAATGATTGAATCAATTAGTTGAATTGTGAATCCTGTACTTGTGTCAATTGAGCCAAACCTTTTGCGACGAGAACCAAGCTTCAATCTGTATTCTTTGAGTTTTTTAGAAATTTTGTGTTTTGATTCCTTTGAGAGCATTCTGACTTTTTTGTCAGTTTTTTTCATGTTTGTTCTGACTACATCAGAACAGGAAAGCATTGCAATTGTATCAAGGCAATCTTCACATGAACAACTCTTGGCACAGTTGCTACAGCACAAATGAGACAGGCCATGAAATGCTGGAACTGAGCCCAAATAATTGATAAGTGTTTTCCTCAGGCAGTGTTCATCTGTTAAACAAAAAGAACGCATTGACTCTGTCATACCAGGGACATTTCTTGCAATATCAGAATTATTATAAAACATTGAGGCAGTGGCTGGTTTGCCATCACGACCTGCTCTTCCCATTTCTTGGTAATATGCTTCAAGTGTTCTTGGCACACCTATGTGTATTACATGTCGAACATCAGGTAAGTTGACTCCTAGACCAATAGCAACTGTGGCAAATACAACTCGGATGTTTCTAAAGTTAGATTTCCCACTAATCTGATCTAGTATCTCAAGCTTCATTGCTTCTGTTTGGGAGGCATGGTATTGGGCAAATAAACAATTTCTAGGCTGTTTCCCCTTGTTCAGGTTAACATAACTTTTGTTGCCTAGAACAGACAAAAAATATTTGAAAGCATAACCACACCATTGCAATGGTAGATATATTATTGTAAATGGATATTCTGTCAGTTTCTTTTTAAGATCATCTGCAATAACAAATAGCTGGTCATAACTTTCAGAACCAAGACATGTAGGCTTTCTTTTAAATTTTTCAATAAAGATGTTGGGTCTGTCAAGATTCCCAATACAAACAAAAGGATTGTCAAGTAGAAGTAATTGAATAAGTTCTTGTATGCGTTTGGTTGGGGCAGTTGCTGTAAGCGCCAGTATTGGTGCATGTGGGAATATTGACCCTAGCTGTGACAGCTTATTGAAATCAGGGCGAAATTCTAGTCCCCATTCTGTAACAAGGTGGGCTTCGTCTATAACACACGAAATAAGTCGATTTTGAAATGTTTGAGATAGTAAGAGTTTTCTTCCTTCTTTGCAAGAGATAAATCCTTCTGGATGTGTGAATAGAATGCGCACATCTCCACATTCAAGTCTCTTATACTCACTATCCCTAGTGATTTCATGTTGTTGGTCTTCAGTATCTTCAGTGAATTCGCGTTCTTCGTCTGTAATGTTACACGGACCCTCGTCAAAGATTTCATTGAAACACTTCGTTGATTTTTTCGTTTTTAAAACACCAGCCTTTATACCTCTTGACTTGAGACTCATCACTTGATCTTCTATTAACGAATCCAAAGGAGCAATTACAAGGACGATGCTGTCGTCTTTTTTCTTTTCATAATCGAACATGAATGGAAGTAGGTGAAAAATGACAGATTTGCCATAACCGGTAGGAAGAACACCCACAGTATCTTTCCCTAAAAGAAGCCTCTCTAAAATCAGTATCTGTTTTACCTTAAGAAATAAGTCATTGTACCCAGAAGAATCTAAAGAGTACCGAATCCCTCGAAAGAAAGAGTCCACAGTAGACGGCATATCGAGAGGAAACACTATTCTATTATAAAAGTTAACAGGCAAACAGTAAAACGCGGGAAAAAGAGAGCCTTCTGATTGGCTTATTGCTTGTTACTTGCAACTCATTTTACAAGCATGTCGGAGGATACGCCGGCGACGCCGGTTAAATGTTATCCAATAGATTCTAAAATATGTAGACTTTGCTCTGACTGTAACAACAGCGAGAGATTTACTGCATTATTTAATAAAGCAGGAGAGAGAAAAGACTTACAAAAGAAGATCCATTATGTCTTAGGAATAGAGATAGAAGGAGACGATGATTTTCCCGCTAAAATTTGCCGAAGTTGCGAGAGAAAGTTAAGTAATTTTTATTCAAAGTTCAAAGTTCAAAGAGTTCAAAGAGTTCAAAGAGTTCAAAGTGTCGGCTATAAATAATCAAGAGTCATTTAGAAAGCAGTGCAAAGTGAAGAGATGCCACAAGCCCTCTCCCAGTGCAGAAAAAGAAAAAGCCACCACTGAGAACAAGCACAAGAGTAACAAAAAATGTCGCAGTCTTTTCCCACAAGAAGCTGGAATGGATGCTACAATCCCATCTAAACAACGCGAAAGAAATACAATGGTGATTTAATTAGGAGTTACCTAGATGGTTTTTTTCCTGAAATTAACCATTTTTTAATTTATGTGTTTTTAATACCACTTTGTATTATTTAGCTCGATTCAGATTTTCTCGATAAAAAAAGAAATAGGAGCAATTTTATCTTCAGTACAGACAAGAATTCCTTCACATATAGTATCAGTAGTGTGGAATGTATCATCATTAAAGGTATTACCATTTTATCATTTACATACATGTAATATGAACTACATTTTGAATGGAATCCAGGGACTGCCCATAGCTGCACAGGACCCCCTAGCTCTGCACAGATCAATTGTCATTTTGAACCAATGACTTGCACTTGTTTTTATGGTATCATAAGTAGTGATAAATAATTCATTTTTTTTACACTGGATGGATGTTAATTAAAAGAGATTATTGTTCCATTCATTAGAYATCTAAATTGTAGCTAAGTATGTGACAAGTGCCTATATATAATGACCAAATAATTGAATATGATGATCATTTGCATATAGACTCAAATGATTAAGAAAATACTACAACAACTTGATACAGACTGCACTGAACTCTGCACCAAGAAAAATGGTTCAATTCTTAGAGAGAAGGATGTTGAAAACATGATGGACTTGGACTGGGACAAAATTATCACTGAAATATCAAATCGTTGCCCCATTCTTTATGATGTTCTTACAACAGTAGTTAAAACTCCATTGAACTCCAAAGTGCCACCTATTTGCATGTGCTATGCAACTCTTCTCCAACAAAGGAATCATGAGCTTAGCTTGATTCAAAGAATTAACACTGTACTGCTTTCAGAAGGACATGCTAAGAAGCAGGTGAAAATATTAAATATTACTTAAAAGTACTGAGGATCACTGATTTGTCTTTGAGTGTACACACTAATTATCCATTATCCATAAATTATATGACATTAAGTGACATGCATTATATGACATTAAGTGACATGCATTATATGACATTAAGTGACATGCATTATATGACATTAAGTGACATGCATCTCAAACACTTGTCATCATTTTTCAGCTGTTAAGCAGATGCCAGAAATTAGGATTTTCTTTGAGTCATAGTAGGAAACTTGCTCTTCTTGATATGATTGGTGGTCACTTTGCTGACAAAGTCATTGACGACATAAAGAGAGGGAAAAACATCCAAGGCACAGGAGATAACTGGGATCTAAGAATACACCCACATGATATGAGGAAAGACAACCAAAATGAAGATCTCCATTATTTTGCCTCAAGTCTAATTTCAGAAAGGGTACCATGTATTGGCCTTTCAACAACTTCTCCACAAAAGAACATCAGAACACTGCCCAACACTGAATTTCTTCTCAATGATGATGAAACAAGTAAACTCAGGGAGGACTTCAAGGTATTGGTGAGCCGAGAGTTGATACATCATATTCCTGCACTATCCTTCTTGAAATCTGTCATTCCAAATCACATAGAATGCAGATATCAAAAGGAGATGTCTGAAAAGTCAACAATTGTTCCTTTGCCAATGCAGCTAAAGGATGAGAAGCAATATGATGATGTTGTTGATATTCTGTGTGAATATGAAAACACAGTTGAAAGCATTTACTCACAAGCAGGTATAATACAGATACCTGCTTATAACAGACCTGCACAGCCACATGGGTCTCTTCAAGRTGCACACTCTGAACCTGATCAACCAGGTGGCCACTCCAATAAACATGATGATGATGACCACATGAAACATATATGTGTTCCATTTGGCGGAGATCAACTCACAAGAGTTCGATTTGTGGGTGCCAAAGATTTGAGGCGAGGTTGTCACAGTGCTAAAGATAGATTTGATCATGTCAGCCCATTTCCTGTGGAGTTATTCCACACAAAGATGTCTTTTGTTCAGGTAAAATAATCAAAATATATAATGCTAGTCAAATGAGGGTTGAGTGGCTTGAATATTACTGCAAATCGCACCKCCACATAATCTTGTATCAATTTCTGCAGTAATTACTTTTTGTTTTCTCCATTCATGGACATGCATCTTGCTAGTTTGGCACAATTTTTGTTTTATCCCTTCAAAGTCAGTAGTGAGTAGCAGTGTGTACTGATGGAAAATAAAATCAGCTATAGAGCAATTTTGAACTTCTAGTGTTACAATTAATGCATTTGATTTTCAGCTTGTGTATAGCCATTTGTACAAAGCAGAGTCAGTTAGAGAGGTGGGGACACTGAAGTACTTTCGAGAAAGATTAAACAGACGAAATGTGACACCTGACAAGGTTACAAAATCATATGAGGGCTGTGAGCAATTCCTTATAAGTGTTGGAAAAGRCTATTTACTTGAAGCTGCATTGGGATTTTGGGAATGGATTCTATWGGTGATAAGCCCACTAAGCATCTTCCCCCAAAAGGCATCAAACACATGGCTTTGGAAAAGAAGAAGGAATATTTTGATGAGGTAGTAGGTGCCTTTGTAGATGAATATGTTATGGCAGATCCTGATGCAGAAGTTTTACGCCAACATGAGGAGTCAGTAAAGCAAGAATCACTTTTGAACAACATCTTTGCTGAACATACCTATGCAGCCAAAGAAACTATGGATACCCCAACAGATGAAAAAACAGATGATACAACAACACATGCAGTAGATAAAGTGCGGTAAGGAAGATGTTTGATTTTGATGGCATAGTTTAATTTCTCTTGCCTATATTTTCTCAAAATCACAACCTATCCTAACTCTTACAGTTTTGGGAACATGAAAATGTATAATAAACAATTAACCTGACATTATACTTACAAAATGGAAACAGAAAATCATAATGCAAACTGCACAAWTTGAACATTAGAAGTAAAATTTGAAATTATTTCTCATGTATTAACAAATATTATTCAACATTCATTATTCCACAGGTACTATGGATTAAATTTGTTGGAATTGGCTGTCTTCCTTATGCAGTTGTTGGACACATGTAAGGAAGGTGATGGAGATAGAAACAATATTAATAAGAAGAGACTTCTACAATATTTCAAAAGATTCAACTCATTTTCAAAGTATGCATTAGAGATGTTTGTCAGTATTGCCCAGGTCCAAGCATTACTGTCTGAAGAAATGGCCCACAGAGTAACATGGGGAAGGTCTGTTGTTGTATTATTCTAATTTCCATTATGATAAGGTCTAACTGACAACTTATATCATTCATTTAAGGTTTGTTAATTGGAATGGTGGTGTTGGTAAGAACATAGAGTGKGACTGTGCACAAGAGATTTGTAATAGAACATGCAAGACAATTGTTAAATCCATGKGAGCAAACAAGACTAAGAAATCAATGCTGCGTGCTTCCAAGGCAGCAGCAGGAGTTCAGCAAATTGTCTCCACGTTTGATCAGAGCACTACTTTACATAAAGTCTCAAATTMMCACTCCACCAGAAGTGCAAAGAATGATGAGCTCTTAATACTGGAGGAGCTCAGAAAACTCCGTCCATTCAAAATAATTCCTAACAGAAGCCATCGTCATTTCAACGAAATTGAGATGTCTCMATTGTCTGGACTAAATATGGCAGAGTTCTCAATGTGGCTGAACAAACACAAAMAGCAGATATCCATGGGAGAATAACACTTTAGAGGTTGTTAAGGTTCTGAACTCTTTGCAATCAATGCTTTAAAAACACAACCTAAAACCATGTGAATGAAGTTGCTGTTAACTAGATAATTTTTAAAAAACACTAGTTATAACACAGAATGCCCCACATGATAATAAGATCTTAAAAGAGCTCCTACAGATCAGAGTACAAACACTAAATGTGTTCAGCACAGCATTATTTACTGCTAAATAGTGAAAACTGAACAATAGAAAACAATAGAATTACCAGTATTTAGTGTTATTTATGTAGCACAGTTTTAGTGTTTGTAGAGTGATCACATTTGTGCAAATGTACAAAATCTAAGTAGTACTTATTTTAGTGGATCTGAAGCAAGATTGAATGCTTCACTTGTATCAATTCAATTTAATTTGCATACCACGTACATGAACAATTAACAAAATATATACATGTACAACTATATAGCATGATTTAGTTAGTAYAATTGCACAGTTTAAGTACGACCATTATACTCTAGTAAGTTTCATCAGTTTTTATAAATCTTTGGAAGAGTATTGAGGCCATAAGCTGATATTAAATTCATTGTTTTGCTTGCTTGTTTATTCCAAACCAACAAAGAAGTCTTAGATTACCCTTAGATTTTAAAAGTAGGGGTAGATAA